CGCTCATCATTGGTGTTTCTCTCTCTCCCCCCCTCTCCCTTCCTCTCTGAAATAAATAAAAATATATATTTTTTAAATATTTTTAAAAAGTCTACAAGTGATTCAAGAGCCTTTTAAAAATATATACTTTTTATTGATATCAGAGAGGAAAGGAGAGGGAGAGAGCGCTAGAAACATCAATGATGAAAGACGCATGGATCAGCTGCCTCCTGCACGCCCCGTCCTGGGGATCGAGCCTGCAACCCAGGCATGTTCATAGGTCGACGCTCAACCACTGAGCCACCCCGGCTGGGCACCACCCCAGACTCTTACTTGCACTGTCACCTTGGTGTCCCCCGAGCCCCAGCAGCACCCACCGGCAGGTCCCAGGAGGCCCCCCCCCTTTTTTTTTCTCCCGTCACTCACCAGCTTCTGGAAGAGGTCGCCCACGCGCTGCTGGTGGCTCCACTGCTGCACGCGGGGGCACAGCCCGTCGTAGAACTCCTTGTGGATCTCGTAGAGCTCAGGCACTTTGAAGAAGATGGTCTCGATCTGCTGGCTCGTCAGCACCGGCTGGGAGGTGGTGGCTGCTGCCTTCAGAGGCTTCATGGGCTGCAGGGAGCACAGGCAAGGGGCCGCCGTGAAAGGGCTCGCCATGTGCCACGGGCGTGGGGTGGCCACAGAAGATCTTGGTCATGTGACATACGTGCCTTTAGTTTTTTAATTATTATTTTTTAAGCCTCACCCGAGGGTATTTTTCCATCGATTTTTAGAGAGAGTGGAAGAGAAAGGGAAAGACAGAATGAAACATCGATGTGAGAGAGACACATCGATGGGTTGCCTCCTGCACACATCCTGACCAGGGGCCGGGCTGGGGAGGAGCATGTAACTAAGGGACGTGCCCTTGACCGGAATTTAACCCGGGACCCTTTGGTCTATAGGCCGACGCTCTATCCACTGAGCCCACCAGCTAGGGCTCTGTGCTATTATTTTTAAATTCTATGACATATAGCCTGGCCAGCATGGCTCAGTGGTTGAGCGTCGACCTATGAACCAGGAGGTCACGGTTCGATTCCCGGTCAGGGCACAGGCCCAGGTTGTGGGCTCGATCCCCAGTAGGGGACGTTCAGGAGGCAGCCGATCCATGATTCTCTCTCCTCATTGATGTTTCTATCTTTCTCTCCCTCTCTCTCTTCCTCTCTCAAATCAATAGAAATGAATTTAAATTCCATGAACTATAACCATGTGAAGCCAGCTTGGGTTGGCACCTGTCTTATGCTGCCATCCATGGCCCCTGGGAAGCTCCGGCCTCCACCCAGGC